AGAGATGAGTTATTGTTACATTGTGACTTCTCTATTATTTAACAACTCTTTTTATTGGGTTCTTTTATTTGGGGTTAAGTACATTGTCAGAATAAGTGAGACATGGATTTAACTTCTGTTAGACAGCTATCATACTGAATAAATATTTACTGTGAATGTATGCAAACATGTATGGCATATAGCTGTCTAACAGAAGTTAAATCCATGTCTCACTTATTCTGACAATGTACTTAACCCCAAATAAAAGAACCCAATAAAAAGAGTTGTATGGAGCTAATTTCCTGCCATAACTCCACAAACAAACTAAACAGGTTTTACAAATGCCTTATGATTCACTAACAAACACAATGTGGTTTGCAAATACAAAACACCATCTACAAACTAATGCATTTAGTTTTGCAAAGAAAAAACGTATCTATCAAACAAACACATAACATTATTCTAATAAATCATGTTTCAGAGACAAATTCAGCTTAGGTTTTACAAGTACACAACTTGGTTTTACAACTACAAAACTTTTTCTTCTCACAGCGGAATATTACTGCCAAAAGTCACGTGACTCACTCACGTGACTTTTGGCAGTAATATTCCGCCGTGGTTGTGCTCATACACACTCACACATGCTCACTCACACATGCTCCACGGCAGCAGGGGGCACTACTGAGTCCATTGGGAAGGCGGGAGGTTGAGCAGAGCATGGAACAGCTCTTCCCAGCCTGATCATGACAGCGGTGTTTCTAGCGATCCAGCATCTGAATTTAGCGATCACAACGAAAACAGCCAAGACACATATTGAGCCCAGAAAATGAATGTTCTTAGGGCTGTAAATATAATAAGCCTTTGTCTAAAATAGACAACATTGTAACTAAGGAGATTTAAACTATACAGCGATCAGCTGCTCTTCATTTTCTTTCCTGCTATATTCAATGAGTGATACAAATATTTTTTACCATACGTTCTGAATAAAACTGATACTGTTGGACTCGGTACTAGTTGACTGCTACCAGAAATAAAAGGAAGTACTTTACTGTGTACTTTGTGAGTAATCCTCCGTCAGAGTCCCCTCCATAGTACATAATGCATGTTTTTTGCTATCTTTGATGAATGATAAAAGGGTCATTCCAGAATTGGAGGACAATTTAGACACCAACATTTTTGAAAAATGAACCTTTCATTTGATTATTTTTTGTTATGTATTTAGGAAAAACAGATAATAAACCATAAAAAAAAGTGATTTGCCCAGCTAAGGCATCAAATGTATATTTTCCAATGAAGAATTAACCCTGTTACTCTAATTATAGTAACAGGGTTGAAAATCAATGCTAATTTTAGCTTTTACCTCAGGAATTAATGCTAGCTGCACAATGTAATGCTATTGTCAAGGAATGGACACACTTAGATATTTAACTAAAGAAAGATACATTTGAAATTAATTTGTTTTAGTTTCATAATTTCATAATCCACACTCCTTCAAGAGTGACAAGATTGGAAATATATTACAAATAAAAGAGAGGACTTAGTTGTGGTCTACCCATGGTAGTAGCACATGGCTTGCTGATGTCCTTTCCACTGTGTCATGCGACAAACAGTTTTTTCACTTCCTCTGCCAAGCTAAAAAGGTTTCGGTAACAGGGTTGCGCGCATGTTGAGGGACACACCTTCTGTGCAAAATTACTGTTATTTAAAATGTGTTTATGATTTAACAAATTGATTTTACCATTACAAGACACATATATCAATAGAATAATACCAAAAAAGTAAATAAAAACCCTATTTTAAATGTTATAGTTGACATGCAAGTTGGTCACCAAGAAGCTGGGACAAGAGAAAAGGGCAATTTTAGGGGGTGTTCGAGAGCTATTTGATATTTTAAATAATATTTTGAAACCACTTTTTCTACAACTTTATATGCATCTTGTCTCAAGACAAGTATATTTAACACAACAAGTGCATGTCTTAGCTTTTTGGGCATGGATTATTAGATTTTTTATATGGGGGACATGAAATGTCCTCCAATTCTGGAATGACCCAAAAATAAAATGTTACCATTAGTTCTTAATGAAATTGATACGGTTTGACTTTGTATTAGTAAGCCTACTACTAACAATACATTGAAGTACTTTTACTGTGTATTTTTTTGAGAAATACTCTGTCAAAGTCCCCTCCTGAGAACAAAATCAAGCCACTTCTTCTAAGTTTGATGAGGGAAAAAAATATTTTTTGGGTGATTTAATGGGTGATGTAACATTAATGACAGACATAATATGAGGTCCTTGGCACTCTAGAGGGGTCATTTTGTGATCATGGGGCATCACCCTTACAGCATCAGGACAATATCATATGGAGTCAGATACTGGAAGTGGGCTGGAGGCGTTAACTGGGACTGATGGAAGGATGAGGCTGATGAGACTGAAGAATCTGCGAGGAACGAACTAGCGGCAGAGGAATAATTATATATTAAAAGACAGCAGCATCATAAGAGGGCAACCATGTGACAGAG